TTTGATCAAGTAGTTATTGAGAAACCTTCGCTAGAAGTTTTAAAAAAATTTAAAAATTTTTATAATAGCCAATCACAATTAAGGATTCGAAGGTTCTAGATTGCAAATCAGTGAAAATCTGTCGGTGCTGCTGGGGTAGTTTACGGCTTACCCCATATAGAGGTACCCGGGTACTAAATTAAGTAATGAAAATACCCGGGTACACGTGTCCGGATTTTATGGTAGTTGGGCGAGACCAACTGGGTTCTGTGTTTTACATTACCCCACTCCCCTCCTTGGGGCTCATCCTCTCCCTCATAGTAAAAAAAATTTAGATAAATATACATAGGGCTACAGGATATTTCGGAAGGATTTTATATATACAGTCACGGAACAATTCAGAAAAAATAAAAAAAAATTTTAAATTTTACTATGTAAACCACAAATTCTTCCCCTCTCCCCACCTCTTCCGGAGGGGAGAGAGGGATAATGTAAAACACAGAGTCCAGTTGGTCCTGCCTTATTTGGTAATTTATCACCTAAATTAACCAACTAATGAGTGTCTACATTTTTATAAATGATTGTCTGATTTTTAGATAATTTTTTAACCAATAAATGGGAATCAATTCTAGCACTTCCTTTATCAATTGGCCTGGCGCACAAAGGCGCAGACTGAGAGTTGACCTGCCCATCAGCCCAGCCATTGAGCCGGGTCAGCCTGTATTACTACTTTAGAGATTAACGGTTTATCTGAAGCTAGTTATAGCTGAAAGAAAATTAGCTGCAGTTTAAGCTATAACTTAAAATTGTAACTTTTAACTATGGTTCAGCATCAGCTACAACTTTGGAAGTGACTATATTAATAATGCGCAACTCTCTTAGGCCCTTGAATTGGTGCTTGAAATATTACAAGATATTATAGATATTAAAAACAAAAAAATTGCACCAATAGACATACCCTCATATACTAAGATACTTTCAACTCCAAAGAAACAAAGTAGACAATCCATCTAAATTCACCCAAGTCAAAGAACTATAAACTTACAAAATGTGTATAAAGCTGATATAACATCCACTGTTATTCCTGAAAACAAAGCTAAAAGACTCTAAATGAGAAAGACCTTATCACAGAACTTCATAATCCAATATCAAAAGAATGAGTTTTGAAAAGCAAACCTGAAAGGTCCAAGGAAAGAAAAACCCAAAACAATAACTACAATAGTGGTAAAAAAAAATCCACAGGATATATGAAGCTGAAAAGAATGAGCCCAAGATATTTCTACATTATCAAGAAATAGCAGAGATATGCCACACTGATGGAATATATAACTATGAGAACTGTGATAAAGATGAAGTTAAAATTAAAGCAAATGAACATAAAATACATATTTCTTATCAGAAAACTGCTGAAGTAAACCAAGCCAACGAATTAGCTAAAGTAAAAATAAAGGATGATCATAAGGAAATTGAAGTCAAGAAAACTGGTATAAAATATCTGCATTGCAACAAAGGTCTATTAACCCTTGTTAAAACATTAAAAGTTAAATATTATTAAGAAAACAAAAGCAATATAAGAAAGTTAAATATGAAATATATCTAAAAGATACTGAAGCTGATGACAATGTGGATAATTATGATAAAAAAACCTCCAAATGGGACAAAGAACCCAATTGTAAAAAGATAGTCTAAGTCTAAATAACAGTTATCTTGATAAACTTAAAGATACTAGCAACAACAAAATTTGGTATTCTTGTGAAGATTGGATAGGCCTAAACAATAGTGGAAAAACTGAAAAGAAAATTTCAATAAGAAATGAGAAATCTGTTAAAATAGATAGTATCTATAGGATCGAAGCTGAAAAAGACAATTATAAGACATTCACTAATTGACAAAAATAAAAGGGAATCAAAGATATAGCTAAGCCCAGAATCACTTTATTTAGCTTCAATATCATTCTAATATGGTTTCTATATATTGCAACAACTAATGTTAATATTTTGCAGAAAGAAGAGTTACTGCACTTACCAAAGTTCAATATAGTAACCAAAGGTTGTCAAAAATCTGCTAAACTGAGGAATGCCAATACTACAAATGTAATTAGATATTTCTATTGTCATGGAACTAGAGTTAAAAAAGATAAACAGAAGATATTTGATAACTCTCATAAATTGGCTAAGATAGGTCATAAAGATAAAATAGAAACATATCAAATTGGTTATTACTATGAATATAGAACTGGAGTTAAAAAAGATAAAAAGAGGGCATTTGATAATTATCAAAAATCAACAGAATTGAATAATTCTTATCAAGTTAAATATTGCTATCAATATAGAATTGAAAAGAATAAAAACATAGCATTTATATATTTTTAAAACTGGCCAATATGAATAATTCTAATAGAATCTATCAAGTTGACTATTGTTATAACTTAGAAATTGCCATTAAAATCAATAAGTGAAAAGCATCTACATTTGCGAAGACAGCATAGTGCCCAATATGTGACCAAGATATAACTACAAGTTGGACAAGTAAAAATAAAGATATTGATGATTGAATAAAAGAATTTCAACTTAGAGTTTGGAAATATGAAGATATGAATAAATAGATTCCATTTAATAGATTACTTAATGTTAAAAAAATTAGAAAAAGAGAAGTTGCAACTGTATATTATGCAAATTGGTTTAATAGAATTAATAATGCACTTAAAGTAATTCATGATTCAAACAGAAATGAGCAAAAGATATTTGAAATAGAAATGAATGAAATACATATAGTTAACAACAGTTCTAAATATTAAACAAACCATGAATATGAAGGATATTCATCATGGATTTCAGAATCAGGATAAGATTGAAGCTGGCAATTAATAGTGGATCAAGGTCTAAATATCTAAGACTAGATTAAATTAGTTGTAAAACATATAGATAAAGATTTTGATAAATGATTTACTGCAACCAAAATTAAAGAAATTATCATTTGTTGATTAGATGAAATAATAAAATGATTAGTGAAGTAGAAATCTTAGCAAAATTTTTAAATTTAGATTTAAATTAAATTATAACAGAACAGAGAGCTTTCAAAGAAACTTTATTCAATGGTATTCAAGAAGATGTATAAATCTGTGACAACAATAATTAGAAATTGTACAAGACCTAAAGAATATAATGAATTTCGAAATTGAGTAAAAAGAGAAACAATAGACATGATGAAATTAGATACAGTAGGTCATAACAGTTATTGTGCAGGTGTAAAGCACATAACAGCAAGTGAAAATAATTAGAACAACCTAAAGAAAAGAAAAGAATTGATAAGTAAAAAGAAGCAAAGACAAAACAAAGAAGAAATATTCACATTACTTGCTGGAAAAGCCCAGAGAAATGTTAAGTATCCGTGACAAATTCAACACAGTATTGGATATTGTTATCAAAATAGAATTGGTATTGAAAAGATGAATATGAAGCAAATTAACCTACCCAAAGTAAAGAAATCTGACATTAAGCAAGAATTCAGTCTAGATAGTTAGTGAACTAGCATCTGGATAATCAAGAAAAAGCTTTTAAGAATCAAGATATTAATTAATATAAGGCAGCTTGGATTAATATCAAGCCCAAAAGATAACTATAATCTACAGATTAAAGCCACATGATTTTTAATAAGAAACAAAGTATTTTCCAAATACCCAGAGCCACAAGTTAATACTAAAATAAAAGAGCCTGTATGATGTTTATACTAATCTCATGAAAAGCATGTATAAACTTTGCAAAGAAGAAGAAAGTAAAACAAAAGTAAAAAAAAAAAAATCAAATAAATTTAAGAACAGTAGCTTGCAATATACCATTCCAAGTGATTAAAAATGCCTACTAATATTAGCCTACTCATCAACAACATTTTGGGTGTCTAACCAAAACACATAGTACCTTTCCTACCTCCGTATACCATGACAGACCCCATTAAACACAGATGTGAGTAACATACTAAGCTATAGCTAGGTCTTCCAGAAGTGGAAGCAAAGTTGGCAGACTAACTTATGTCTTCTATTTAGATACCATGATTGCCCAACTATCCTCAGAACATAGAACATTGCAGTGAGCAAGAATAACGATCTACTACTTCACAGCTACTATATGTGTCTATAAGCTGTTTAAGCTTTTTTGTATTGAACAAATAGGTCAAACTACCTATATGAACTTGTTGAAAATTGCAACCTTATCTGCCCAGAAGTATTAGCAGTTACTTCAGGCTCAGTAACTGCTTCAATGTGTACTGCACTTAGAAATAACCTAAATGAAACTTATGATAACATGAAGGGCAATTAATTTAAAAAAAAACCTTTATCTGTATTTTGTCTCTATACTTGGCATTCTTGTAAAACTTAAAATTAAGGTTGGGAGTCTGTGAGAGGGTAAATTGTGGCTTGTATTTATTTTTTGGTGTAGTTAATTGAGGTGGGCCAAAAAAGATTGACTATATCTGTCAGATATGTCAGATATGTCAGATCCATCATATCTAACAGATATGTCAGGTCAGAACTATTATATGTGTTGGATATGATATATATGTTTGATATGTTATATAGATTATATTTATTAGATAGGATATATATAATAGATAGATTTTATATGTTATATATGTTAGGCAGAAATAGCAAATCATAGTTGTCATAAACATTTGTAGTTGTGGGGTCTTTGAGCTCGATTCACTTAGTTAGAGCACTCACTTTGACACTGGTATGTCATACTAGACACTACTATCTATACTACTATGTATATACTAAGTTGTGTATTTATTAAGCAAATGCTAAACTAACCTGCAACTTTCTTTTGAGATCATTGCACTTTTATTAGATTGTTAATTCGGGTACTTGATTATCTACTTATACACATTATACAATACTTACAAATTGACTTTACATTAAATTCATACATCAACAATTATGCTATTGACATTACTAATCATGACTGGATAACCTGTAATTGTATTTAACTCTAGAAATATCAATACAAGGGGTGTTGGTTGTTACCATGACAATAGTATAGCTAAAAATTGTATATAAGGACCAAGAGTCCACCTTGAATAAAATATATCTCTAGTAAGGAGTATTTAGTTATTTCTAGCTTTTGCTTGTTATATTTTACACATATAATTACACAAATTTCTTCCCTAAATCTGATAAATACACTATTATATAACCATGTAATTCCAAATTAGAGCTTCATAGTATAGTCTAGAGCTCTATTTGGCCCTAATAACTTGGACTAAGTCTTTCTATGCTCTCTTTTGTGCCTTTTACCATTAGAGTCCAGATAAGTTGGATACAATTTAGTGGTATTGTGTGTTGATTTGGATTAGTTTAGTTTTTGTAGATAGACCAATTAGACCAATAAATAATTGCTAAACTTAGAGACTAAGGATGCTCATAATGTGATCTCTACCCATCGAGTTCATATATAATTTGCTGAAGGCTTATTTTGCAAAATGCAGATAATAAATTTTAGCCTATCAAACTTTTTTCATTGTAATAATAAACCTTGTAAGTTCATATCTAGTCTTCTTATCTGCATTAGTCTTATTTGTCATACTGGTTCATTTTGAATAATTTTAAATACTAAAATGCTTGTCTCAGTAAGATGATTCTAACAAGCCCAAAAATATTAAATCTAATTACTGATTTATAAGTTTGTTAATATATTGTCCTATACTAGGAACAGAGTTTTCTGTAAGTAAAAACAGAGAATATGGTTTACCAAAAATGTTCAAGGATATTTGTTATCAAAATCTTGTATTTGGTTGGATACTACAGTTAGCTATAATTTCTAAATATGTAAATATTGATAATTTCAGATTTGCAAATTGAAATAAGGAAACCATTTAAAGTGCTACTATGCAACTGAAAGGTGGCAAAAATTTAATGACTTTGTGTGTTTGTATATATTTTTATATGTACATACATATAATAATTTTTTTTAGACACTTAATAAGTTAAGCTATTTATATTAGAAATTCTTTTATTTTTATTTTTATGAACTTTTTTTTTTTATAAACTATATATTTATATTCAGTTTTGTTCAATAGTGAGATATAGTAGTATGCATTATATAATATATACACAATACATTTATGTATTCACCATATAGTTGTTAGATGAAACCTGTTTCACATAATGACAAAAGACAAAACCTCTGATGAAAGTTGAATCTAAAATTCTTCTGATGAAAGAAGAAACCTTAAAGCTAAAATAATGAAATCTTACACTCAAAAATTAAACTCTAGTGCACTCTAAAATAATAATAATAATAATAATAGAAAATTATTTTTTATACCCCCTAATTTATTAACTATACTTCTCTACAGATTTATCTTTTTTTCAAACTTTGAGCGAAGATATCACGACAACCACCAAGCCAATTTCAATGATTTTTTTTTCTTTGCATTCTACAGGTTCGTAGAATTCAAATAAAAAAAAATTTATCGAATTTGGCCCAGTAGTTGCTGAAATATCATTACTCTATCAAAACAAATAATCCAAATTTTTTTTTAGCTTTGAGCAAAGATATCTTTGCACCTACTGGGTCAAATTTGATGAATTTTTTTTATTTAAATTCTACGAATCTGTAGAATACAAAAAAAAAATTGTCGAAATTGGCTTGGTGGTTGTTGTGATATCTTTGCTCAAAGTTTTAAAAAAAGCCAAAATATATATCAAAACAAAAGCTGCACCAAAATTTTCTCAAAGTTTGAGCAAGGATATCTTGACAACCACCAAGCCAATTTTGATGAATTTTTTATTTAAATTTTACAGATCTGTAGAATGCAAATAAAAAAAATTTTTATCAAAATTGGCTTGGTAGATGTCAAGATATCTTTATTCAAAGTTTTTAAAAAAACTCAA